TTACAAACCAATGAATGGAAATATGCATCACTAATGTCATTAACAACCCCAGTCTTTGTCCCTTGCAGATGTATTTAATTAATTTTATTTTTTCTTCTTTTCTTTTTCCACCAACTGAGCCCTGAGGAAGACTTAGAGATCTCAACACAGGTCTTCATGGTTGGAACCACCCATCAGTCGGGGCTGGCACTGATATGAAAACAATTTACCGCAACTAGTTTATTCCATTTTTTACCTAATAGTATTTCAAATATTTGAAAATAGCTCTTTATTACTTCCTAACTTTTCTTTCAGCCAAAGCGATGATCACAAGTTTTCCAACCATCCCTCAATTATCATGGTTACCAGATCCTTCACCACAGATACATACTAATTCCTCAATAGCCCACTTAAACTATTTTGCAGAACTGAAATCATCATTCTGGATATCAACTACCTAGGCAAAGAGAGAATGTGATGGACACTCTTCACAAAGCTTGGACACCATCAGCATCAGAGCCATCTCTTTGCACACATCCATGTGTGCTATGATTTCATAATTTTCTGCTCATCAGGTACATTTGAAGTTATTTCATTTTTCACTTTGAGTGAAATTTTACATTAATTCCATTATTTTTTATGTATTTGGTCTCTCATTCAAGTTGAAGAGTTCCTGAGTCTGTCCTCAAATACTTATTTTCACTCTTTCAGCTGGTATTATTGTACCCTTATCCAAGATATGAACAAAAGTTTTGTAAAGGACTAGAGTGAGGAGAGAGACACACACAACTGGAAACCTGCTTTCAAAATCACACCAATCCAATAATCAACATCATCCATCACCAACCAACAACACCATCCATAATCAACAAAATCCATACAAGCAATTTTTCAAAGCCTTAATATGTAGCCTATATTATACTTCCTTGACTGTAAGAGTTGTCATGGAAAATCTTGATATACACGTTGCTGAAAATTCAGAAACAGCACTTCTAAAGAGTATTTCTAAACACCCCTCTAGGAGTAACGTCAAACAAAGATGGATCCAGACTTACATGTTATTTTGCAAAACTATATTAGCTCGTCATAAGTACACATCACCAAAGACCTTATAAATAATAGGTTTGATTATCTGCTCTGTGCATCACCAAATTAACAAATCCGTAGTTTATGACAGTTAGCTTCTTTTCTTTTTGTGTGAAAAATCACACCACATATTGATCTAACTCTAGGGGACTTCTTTTAATAATGTACCACAGGGGCGCTGCCAGTGACTCAGCAGTCTCTTTCCCAGGAACCTCAGCTCACACAGGTGGAATTCTCCCAGGCAGGAGACTCAACTTCACCTGAAACTTTGAAGTCCTCTTTGAAAGACTCTTTCTCTTTGATAGACCCCTTCTCTTTCTTGGGGTCCTAGTTTCTGATATAAAAGTATGCTCTAACCTTTGTGTTGCCATAACAGTTCTTCTAGACAGAAAAGACAAATGAAGGAGTAGCTGAGCCCTTCTGCTTTATTTCTCTCAACGCTATTAATACCAACTCCAGTGAGTGAATTTGGTCCTTATTTCAAACACCACTTAGAGATGGTCCTTACAATTTCATATTCCTGAATAGTCTTCATTATTTCCTGCTCATGGTGAATTTGTCCTTCAAGACATTGTCCTTCAACTGTGTTTCATTCTCTTAAATACGTTGTAGGGTAGTTGCTTTGCTTGCAAATTGAATTTATTGTAGGATAGCTGGGGTAACTGTCTTTGTCTCTTTGGAAAATTTCCCATTTCCTCCTCATTGGAGTGATTTGTTTCTCAAACACAGAATTTTTGGGATTGTTTTGTTTTATTGAGGGGACATCTCTTTTAGAGTTGAAACCATGGGATCCCATCTATTGTCTTCTAAATTTTTGGAAAATATCCTCACTGACTGCCTCCATTGCTATTATAAGTCATTTCCCTCCATGTCTGGTTTACCCTCATAGGGTCCAGATGAAACTGGAGGTCACCCAAGGCCATTTAGCTTGGTAGAAACCCAGAGAAATTTTCAAGAAATTCATAACTATGGAAACAACGCAATAATTCAAATGACAAGACATGGAAAGAAAATAATAGCACGATTAAACAAGATAAAGGTAGGCAAGAGGCCTTGGAGAAGCACAGAGTGAAGGACAAAATTAACCATGGGGAAACACTATGGCACTAAGCACCTTTTCTGGCAGGTGCCTTGGGGCGTGGAGTAGTCCAGCACCAGAGGTCATTTGACTTCTCATTAACCAACACATTCCACCTCATTGATCAGAATTAGCACAAGAGTACACTGGCCTCTTTCATTCTATCTTTCTTCTGAGAGAGAAAATGATTGGCGAAGGAGCATATGATTTGCTCAAATACACTAGTTTATATCCTAATGTTAACAAGTGTTCTGTGGTCAAAATGCCTAGGTCTAAATGCTGTTTTTAATATTTGTTGCCTTTACAATGTTGGGCAAATTCCTCATTGCTCTAAGCTTTTTCTTCTTTGTGAAGAGGATTAATACGCACTTCCCATATGCTCTGATGAAGATTCAATAAGATAAAACTCAGAAATACCTTGTACATTTTAGGTCATCAATAAATAATATCATTCAAATTATTGTATAGAAATAGAGCATAAAGTTAATTTTTGGACTATGGAGGTAGGTATCCAATATCTACTCTATCAAACATCTATGCCAGATTTGCGATTGGAGCCTCTGTTCCCTTTATCTGTTCGAGCATTTCAGAATCTTCTCTAGCACTGATGTCAGCTCTGTTCTCCTCCCTGCGTACCCCTTCACCTATAGTCTCTGTTTTGTCTCACGCACAGATTGATGGGCCCCGTGGATATGTATTCATGCTGGGTTATACTAAGTCATCTACTCATCAGTGACCTATGATACAGGAAAAGATTATCCTTCATTGCCGTATTCTGTGTATGATGAATCTTAAAACTTCAAGTTTCAGTGGTAGCTGTGAAACTGTATTTACTAACTTATTAAATCTTTATACTAAGTTTATTACCCATATTTTCAGTCATCAGTTTGTAAACATATGCAGCTATATGTCATTTCTAGTCCTTTTCTAATTGTGCTTTTTTCTTTTAAGTACTCTGCCTCCTTTGATTTTGTTACTCCTTATATGCTGTCTCCAAGTTCTACGACACTAATGTTTTCTACACTATAATCTGAACATTTTTCTTCCTCTTTATTTTCAGTTAAATTCCTTCTGAGCACTCCCTCTTCCAAAAGATCCTAAGACATCTTGCATCCCATTGAGGCCATACTTTGGAGCATCTTCATCCATCCAATTAGTCAATACACATCTCATGCTTTCTACTCCAGAGTCCCAACCTTTGGTCAGAACACCACAAAATAGACAAAGGTTTATTTGCAACCAATAAGACTCAACCAGACACCATGGTCTAAAAGTTATGTAAATTCAAGTTGCCACTTAAACCCCCTGAGGCTACAACAACTGCCTACCTGTACCCAGGGTCACCGCAAAGACCAGGGAGATAAGGTCTTTACGAGCAGTGAGGCACTAACCAAATGTAAACTGTGATTACTTTCATCATGACAATTAACAGCAGAGATGTGAGTTTCTTAGATCACCTGCCTGGTTCCCGTCTAACACGCCAAGTTTCACTGAAGTTAACAGCGAAGACCTGCCCCAAACCATAGCTGCCTTTAGGAGAGGGCTCACAACGGCCAATTTCATAAAAACATTTCAGAATGCATAGAAATTCTCAGAAGCACTAGGAATTCTCAACATGAAGTACCACACATATTCCAGGGACATTCCATAGGCTACTGAAAACGATAATGACTACACTCAACAAGAATATATATACATATACATATACACACAGAGTATTCTAGCAGAATTCGTAGAGGTATTGTAGTAATTTAAAGGAAGAGGATGTCATTTCACGGATCAGAGTAAGAACCTCCTTTGTTTTGCTGGCTGCTTTCCTCTGGGATTACTACTTTACTACAACCTTTTTGCTTCAAATTTCAGTGTTTCTTCAAATTCTCTCAAGTGAAAAGAACATATTTTTACTATTCAAAATTTACTGGTCCTGGCTTAACTTCTGAGGTGATCTAGCCAATGGAGAGTCAGAAGCTTAAACTTTCCAGCTTCTACGGCTTTTGAGCGATTACAAAATTATTGAGATCAAAGAGAGGGCTCGAAAGGACCAAAGGCAGTTAACACATTTTACAAATTACTTGGAGATCTAAAGGAGCATTAGAAATCATTGTACTTTAAGCTACTTATTCAATGATTTTCATACATTTATTCAGAAGATTTTTCAGTGGGAAAATTTTTAGCTCATCTTTTTAAATTATCATGCAGAAAATTTTAATCTTTGGGAAAAAGAAGAATAAATTATTGTGCACACATTTAGTTTTAAATAACTCATTGTACTTACATTAATTGTTATTAGTGTCACTTTAATTTGCTGACATAATTTTAAGTTTTTTAAACAGACAAAATGTGCAATATTTTTGGAATTCATTTTTGTGTCTCCTAAAATCATGATGGCATCTGAGTGTAGGGATGTCCTCATTACTCTGTAAAATAGTCTTTATGTCACACAAGGCAATACGTGACCTTCATTTATTGCTCAGATTAAAAACTCCTTTAGCTGGCCTGGTGGCATAGCAGTTAAGTTCGTATGCTCTGCTTGGTGGGCCTGGGGTTCATGAGCTCAGATCCTGGGTGCGGACCTACACACTATGCCTAGTGGTGTCCCACAAACAGAATAGAGGAAGACTGGCACAGATGTTAGCTCAGGCCCAATCCCCCTCACCAAAAGACAAAAAACAAACCAACCAACCCTTTAGATACTTAAAGAAAAAGTCATATAGTGAAGTACAGCATTATTACTCCAGCTAGGATTTGGTAATATGGTCAGAGTATTTATAGCAAGAAGTCTTGTGCTTTGCTCAGCCATACTCTATTTTTAAGGTTTATTTGAATTAAATAAGTGCCAGATGATAGATCAGTTTACCCAGACATCGAGTTTCAGAACCGCTCCAGAGTCCATTTGCTAAGCATTCTCTGACATGAGACCCCACAAGCGTGTAGCCCGTGTTACATGTAAATATGGCCGTGGCTCCGTAAACTGTCAACGTTCCAATCTTGTTACCATTTGGGGGAAAGGACAGGCTTCCACACGAGATAACTAGAAAGACAAAAAAAAAAGGGAATATTATTTCGAGTCTGCAGATTAGGCTTTAGCTTAAAAATGATGAAAATCTTCAGTCTTCATTTGCATTAAGAACTTAGGGAAAGGATGTCTGCTTCAGCTTAGACAGATCAACCATCTAGGAAGCTTAATTTCCCTTCTCTTATATCCTTGTAAGGAAACCTTTAAAGTTGAGAGTGGATTCCAAAATGTTCTAGATCCCTTTACCCATTGTTATTTTTTCACTAGCACAATTAGGTAAACCTTTCTTAAAAAATACACAGTAGACAAACATTCATACAGAAGCAAACTGATGAAACGAGTTGGCCATCTGTCCACTTTTCTGTCTGCATCAACCACAAGAACCACATAATAGCTAGTGGACACCTCTGTGTCCCCAGCAGGAAGTAAGAAAGGTGAATAGTCTTTCCCAAAGTCAGTCAGCTGGTACAAAGTATCGTGGAATTAAAACCTAGGACATCCCACTCCATTAGAAGGATTGAGCACATGTTTTCTTTCATTTACTGCATAATTGGTTGGGATCATGAGCTCCAAAAGATGCTGACTATAGAGGACATGTGGAGCCATCCTGAAAATTAAAAAATATACAACCTAGATTTTAGGTGGCTGTAGATAGGGTAACCATACATCCCCAGTAAACACCTGTTGTCCCAGGAAAACCACTGATAGTGTCCCTTCCACCCACAAGACTACTCTAGTTTGGGAGATAAATGGTCACTTTTAAAAATTATAGATACTCATCACACCAGCCGATTTCCTGACCTCCACATCTATAAAAGTTTGAGCACAGAAAAGCACAGAATCTCAGAGGAGGAAGAAATCACGAAGTTATCAAGGCCAATTGCTCATCAGAGGCTAAAATGTGTTTTGAACAGGTGAGAAGGGAAGTGTTTGAAAAGCTCCTCTAAGAGGAGTGATAAGGAATTCCTGCTGACTAAATGAGTTATTATCCGGAAGGGGCTTAGGGCAAAGCTGGCAAGTAGCTCAGAATTACTGAGTCCTTATTAATAGTAAACTGATAAGAGGCAGTAAGACATAGTGATTAAGAATATTGAGTCTGGCTGCAGGCTGCCCAGCTTCAAGCCTAGCTCTGCCAGTTACTAGCTGGATGACGCTGGACAATCTCCTCAACATCTCTGGGCCCTCGCTGGTTCATCTGTGAAGGCTTGATACTGTAGGGGAGGAAAAATAATTTTCCCTCTACCCTTCTAGGTTCTTGGCTGAGATTTCCCTGTAATAAAAGACAGATTAACAGGGGAAAAACAAACAGAAGTTTAATAACACGTATACCTCCCTCTATACATGGGAGATACCCAGGAAAACTGAGTAACTCTCCAAAATGGTCCAAGCTGCCACCTTACACACCATCTCCAGCTAAAGACAAAAGGAGATGTTGAGGGGAGGGGAGCCAGTTATGGGAGGTGACCAGGCAAGCACAACAGGGTCAGGTTGTTATGCAGGTTAGGTCCTTGCCTCCTCCATGGACAAGAGTTTCTGGAGATTGAGCCATCCTCCTCCTCCTGGTACAGAGAGGGAGACACCCTTACAAATGGAGATTTCCCTTATACAACTAAACGTCTCTTACAAAAGGGCAACTTCTGCTCTGTTTTCAGAGATTCTCCTGTGTCTGTAGCCTCTCAAAAATAATCACCCCAAAATGATCAATATGCCAAAGAGGCATATTTTGGAGTGGCAGATTCTGCTCCCTTTCAATACTAGCACCTGCTACACGATGGTGTGTTGGATTCAGACAGAAGATGCGTCATGCTTAAAGCAGTGGTTCACATGGGATGGGGGCTCCGTCAGGGTCAGCTAACAGTGAAGTCTTATCTCAGGACCTACTTAGTGAACTGAATCAAAAGTGTGAAAACCTCTACTGATGATTCAAGCAAAGAAAACTTTTCTGCATGAACCATTTCCACCAGTCTTTTGAATCCAGCTGATTTTACTCCACAATGCAATAAAGCCAGCTCCATTTCAAATGGACAGACAGACACAGCCAGGTGACATGTAGACACGTTCTGGGGGGGACTACTCACCAGAAATTTGGAAAGTTTAACTCTAGAGCGTGCTGTGATCAGAAGGTCATTGTTGAGAGGGCCTCCATGATTTATCGGTTTCTGGGATTGCTAAATTCTTATAGGGTCATAGCTTATGCATTTAGCAATCTTGCTAACATGTTTGCTGCACGAAATGTCAATGAATTCGAGTAGGATTTAGATTCTGTACAATTTGTTATGAACTTTCCATTAAGCCTTTCCCAAACACAGTATGAACTTCATCTTGAGCTATGATATTTAAAGATCCATTCGTAGCCATTTAGGATAACCGGACCATGTTTTGAAACTTCGGCGCTAGTCAGAAATGTGTTCGATAGCCGTGAGGCCTAAGCACAGCCCTTCTCAGAGGGCTTAACACACCTTTAGTGGTCGACCAGCAGAAAAGTCCACCGGGCTTTTGCATCTGTTCTATTCTTTTAGCCCTTGTTAAAAATAGCCTGGTGACGAAACGATTTTAGGTTTGTCCTCTGCTAAGGTTCACCAGGTTGTAAAGAAAAACTAACAGGGCAACATCTTAGCTTTTTAGCAGCTGGATGATGCGGTCTCAGACAGGGAGTTTTGGTTGGCAGTAAACCCAATACATTAATGAGGATTGCAACACTGATGTGGAAAAGCTAGCCTAATTGAAATGGAGTACCCCCAACCACTAAAAAAAGCCTTTGTGAAGCATCAAACGGAAAGCCTTATTTCCGTGTTCTTTTCTCCCTTCAAGTTTTCAAAATGAATTCATTAAGCTTGCTTCTATCCCTTCCATTAGAAATGTATTCATGTACACTGTCTAAAGTGCCTGCTCTGACTTCTTGGAGTGCATCTTGCACGCAGAAGATGCTCAGCTAAGGGATCCAGAATGCCTCCGGCTCTGCCCGATTCACTGTCGACAATGTAGCTTCTCACTATCACCGTGGTTTACCAGCCATCTGCCTCTCTGCCCCCAGGGAATCCTCTTTCCTTCAATTCTACAATTATATTGCTATTGATGTCCTCTACTGTGAAAAAATAATTGTACCGTGATATTCATTTCTCATACTTGTAAGGCCAGCATCCCTGTCAGGAATGTGGATATTATTTGTAAGAGTGACAAATAAATATGAAGTCAGAGTAGGTACTTCCAAGTATGTTCTGGGTGGAAAAAGCCTAATAAACAAGTAGATGGACATGAATAGTGAACATGAGCTGACATGCACGTGAATGGGGCAGGGCTGATTATCATAAAGAGGAGATTCAAAGGACACACGATAGTTGTCTTTAAGTATGTACAGGTGTGTTGTGTAGATCAGCGTCAGGAATCATTTCAGCAGGTCCAGAGGGGTGGAGCCAAGATACGCATATATGAGTCAAAAAGAAGACCTCGCTCAATGTGAAAATGTTCAAACATGAAATCAGCTGTCCCTGAGGTAACGAGTTCACTGGAGTTATTTAATGCAGGCTGGACATTTACTTGTGAGTATGTTATCAAGAAAATTCAACTTTAGGTCATTCTGAGTGATGACCAGTGTCCATTCCAACAGGGAATGCAGCACCTGTTCCATGGCCTCCTATGATATAGATGAAATACACAGGCTGATGGACAAACACTCCCATAGGTTTAATGGTCAATCCAGGCGCACCTCCAGGCACAAAGAGAAGGTCATCAAAGACCAACCTGCTTACTTCATGGTTTGATCGAGGTCTAACTTAAGAGAAAACTTAAATTAGCAGTTAGGAAAGAGGAACAGCACAGAATTCAGGCAATGTTCTTTGAGTATCTATACTATAACAAAATTCCAGTGCAGCTCTCTCTGTCTGTGAGTGTGCATAAAATTTTAAATGCCAAGATGATTTCTTTTTGACTCATGCATTTCTGTGGTAAACATTTTTCGTACTTTTTGAAGCAATAGGTCAAACAATAAAGAATAATAACAAGACAAAAGCAATAGCCGCCCACTTACAGGCAGTCCTCATGCTAGGGAGGTGTAAGAACACCCCTGGATATGGGATTTTAATCTTGCATTCTTATCTCTTGAGGGACAGCCATTGGTGGTCAATTCTGTCTGCTCAAAGAGGGTGCTTCAGAGCTAATAGTTTAAACGTGGGGCAAAGGTCTCTGATCTGCTTCGCGGGGATAGCTGGGCTCTGCCTGAGGACCTGTTAAAATAGCCTGGAGTGAGAATAACACAGGCCCTTCAAAAAGTGCGGACTATCCCAGCTGCCTTCACCGTTGTAAGGATGTGCTCAGAAGGCAGTCAAGGTCATCTCTTCATCTGCCACTAACTAGACAAGCAGAACCAGAGATTCTAACATTTCCAGCCCACAAGCAGGTAAACAACCAAAACAGTTACATTCCAGGGAATCCTGTGGAACCATAGGCAAACAACAATAAAAATAAATAAAATTATAGCCTCTTAGCTATGCCAATGATGTGGATCATGACACACTTGAAGATTCCATTGGTCCCATTTCAAGAAAATGTAGTAAGTGACTTGGTGTTTCTCCTGTGAAAAAGCCACCACAGAGTGGTAAATTGGGCTTACAAAAATGCGTCATTTTAATTGAGAAATTAAATAGCATTTGAATTTCCTGGGGCTTATCACGCACTTATTTTAATAGTAAAGGATACTATCACCAGGTTTCATGTTGTGTTCTTCTGTGTGTGTGTTGGAAAGGTAGTGAACATGGGAGATAAGTGTAATCAAAAGTATTTTAAATATAAAATGAAATGAAAATGAGCTATAGCAAAAATAAGCCAATATAAATGTATTTTTCCCGAAGAACCCAGAAAATATTGTATACATATTAAGACTAAATTTTTTTCACTTTACTTTTGAAGGGCAAAGTTTTAAAGATCTTTTAGTAATTTGCAACATTAAATTGGCTGTGTTTTTTCTGATATTACTAATTGACTTTTGAAAAAGTAGAGAATTATCACATGGAAGTAGTAAATATTTGTCTTAAATAAATAAAAGTGATAATATTTAACATTGAACTAAAGCTGGTTGTGAGAAATACATAAATGATGACACTTGCACCCATGAAAATAAATGTTAAAGGGAAGTTTTAGACAAACATTTGAATACTTGCCTTTGTGGTCTTCCTTCCATTGCGTTTATTACCTGTGTGAAAGTGTATCTTACGTACCCCAGAACTTAGGGTTTTGAGGTATTCTTCTGAAACAGCTATTCTCAACATGTGACCGAAAAACTCCTTGGAGTCCCCAGTATCTCTCAGGGGTCCTCAAGCTTCTCTTTTTTCCAACTACATCACTGTCTAATTTTCTTTATCTTTAGCCAAACCAAAACAACATATTGTGACAGTTACTGCAGAAGCTGATATGAGAAACCAGCTGTCATCTACTAAGTTAAACAGTATAGAGATTTATAAAATTTTTGAACAATGACACCATTCTTACTAATTTTTGTTTTGTTTGGAAATGAATCATTGTTGTTTATAAAAATATGTTATTTATGGTAAGACATAATTATCTTATTGTTATTTTCTTTCTCTTTTTTCTTTTTTGAGGAAGATTGGCCCTGAGCTAACAGCTGTCTCCATCTTCCCCTATTTTATATGTGGGACTCCTGCCACAGCATGGTTTCACAAGTGGTATATAGGTCCACGCCCTGGATCCCAACAGGTAAACCCCAGGCCACTGAAGCAGCGTGCACCAACTTAACTGCTATGCCACTGGGCTGGCACCCTTATTGTTCTTTTAAATAAATGGATACACATTAACATTTTTCTTAGTTATAATTTAAATGAATTAATATAAATAACTAGAATAATTCTTGGTTTTAATTTATAATATCGTAAAAATTTTAAGAAGGTCTTTGGAGTCTAGTGGTAGGCAGAATTCTAAGATGTCCCTCAGGATTCCCAGCCCTGGTGTAAAATCCTCTCCCCTTGGTGCAGGCAGAGCTACAATTAGGTTATGAATCAGTTGGCTTTGAGTTCATCAAAAATGGGATTATATCTTGGTGGGATTGAACCGGTTAAGTGAGCCCTCAAAGGGGCTGAGTCCTTCCTGAAAGTCAGAGAGATCTGAATGTTAAGAGGGCCTGGGGAGGTGGGAGTGACGGCAAAGAGCTAAGTGTGGCCTCCGGAGTTGAGCTCATTCGGGTCCACAACCAGCAACAATGTGAGGGCCTCGGCCATAAACTACAGCCCCACGAACTCCACTGACAAACAGTGCGTGGAGGCCCATCTCTCCCTCACTGGGCCTCAGATGAGGACACAGCCCCGCCAACACCTTGACTTCAACACGGTAAGACCCCGAGTAGAAGAGCCAGCTCAGACGCCTGCCCCGGGAACTGCGAGGTAACAAATCTGCGTTATTGTACACAGCTTAGCTGCAATATTTAATGCAACAACATGGATGGACCTGAGGGCACTATGCTAATGAAATAAGTCAGACAGAGAAAGACAAGGACTGTATGATCTCACTTACATGTGGAATCTAACAACACAAAAAGCTCATGGGTACTGAGAACAGATTGGTGGTGGCCAGGGGCTGGGGTGGGAGGTGGGTGAAATGGGTGAAGGGGGTCGAAAGGTACGAGCTTCCAGTTATAAAATAAATAAGTCCTGGGATGTAAGGTACAGCATGACGACTGCGGTTAATAAAGACTGTATTGCACATTTGAAATTAGCTAAGAGAGTTAACCTTGAAAGTCCTCATCACAAGAAAAAAAAATCTGTAACTATGTGAGGTGATGGATGTTAACCAGAGTTACTGTGGTGATCGTCTCACAATATATACAAATATCTAATCATCATATTGCACACCTGAAACGAATATAATGTTGCATGTCAATTATACCTCAACTAAAAAACTGTTTCTAAAAAGAGACAAAAATCTTTGATAAACTCTTTTATTAGTGCAAAATTTAAACAAAATTCAGTGGAGATAGAAATTAATTGAAAATATTAATAACAAGTCTTCGAGGGAAAGAAAACAAAGAAAAATTTCAATTTGGTCACAAAAGTAATGATAAGATCAGTGTTGACTTTCCCTTCCCCACTGATCGTGTGAACCCACAATGTGGCCCTTGGGCACAGACCTTGGTCTTTAACACCACTCTCTACCTAAACGTACCAGAGCCTGTTGGAGAGTAACTGATGCCATGTTTGGGTAAGGAAAATTCAGGATGAGTATAAAACATCCCGTCTTTATGAGAAAACAGAATGATTTCAAAGATGTCAGAAGGACAAGATGAAGAGGCCAGGTGAAGGGGACACCCCTAGCCAAATCCTGACTATCTGAACTAAAAACGTTAGTAAAAACACGAAACCCAAAAGCAAACAACGATTTCACTGGAACTCACTGACTCTGGAGAAGGCCACATGTCCATGAGGACATTCAAAACAGGCAAATAACAAACAGAGATGGAACAACCCGTGCCCAGCAATGTGAGTCAGAGATGCTGACGATTTACAAAACACATCTGTGTCCCAAGGTGCCTGGAGATGTCTGCAGATACATGGATTTGTGATTGTTGTCCCTGGACCAAACTCAGTATGAGAACCACCAGATCAAAGTATATTAAGGAATCAGGAAAACAGATTTTCTAAACTTTCAGAAGAAGGGAGGCAGAAATGTTATTAATATACAGCTCAACCCTGACTCTTCTTCCTCCAAAAGATGGTGGGAACTTGCTGCTAATGAGCTTGGCTCAAGAATCAGGAAAGCCTGGCTTTGTGAACATTCTTTTAAATAGTAGACTTCCCCTGCAAGTGTCAATTCTTCTGGAATGGCATTCTAAGCCTTTGTGGTACAGCAAATACCCATCCAGCATCCTCCTCCTCTTAGCATCCCTGGACAATTGAGAGACTAGTAAAAGCTATATTGAGACTGATACATCCTCAAAAGTCCTGTGTGAATTCCCCGCTCCCAGAAGCTACCGTGTGCTTGATTTTAAGATCCTGATTCTGGTCTGAAACTGACAAAAACGATGTCAGCTGGAAGACTCTCAAACAGGTTAAAGGTAAATGCTCCTAATTCTGCTCCTCCACTCTCCTTGCTGACCTTAACGACTGAGTCTCCAAACCACAGACCTGAGCTTCAAAGTGGGCACATGCGAGGATGACTTGAAGGATGTGGGAAGGAGGGAGTTCACTAGTTCAGACGTCTAACACAGGGGAATTCAGTGACTAGATAATTAATCATCCAAACCAGGACACTTTTGAGAACGACAAGGGAACCGTTAGTAATTATCCCGGACGACAGGCCTCAGGCAGAGCTGTCCAGGACACAGGAGTGCCGTCTACTTTGACTAGGGTGACTGTCAGCTTCTGGGGGGGTCACTGATCCTTCTTAATTTATCACTGTGTTCCTGATGAAGATCTTTAGCACGTGTTTAATTAACATTTGTTTTATTAAAAGTTGAATTAGAGTGATTATCAAAGACAGCAAAGCGTTAATTCTTTTGTCCTTTTCCCATTTTTATTCTGGTTTATTCTCACTAAGCTGTGTATTTTATAAATTTGACACTGGTTTAATGACTTGGTTCTGTGCATGATAATTCCCTGTGAACAATCAACTAAAGATTGTATATTAAATATGTCTGAACCAAAGAGTGCTCTGAACAATACTAATATTGTTTTATTTTTCTATTTATTGATATTTATTATGAAACCCACTCAAAGGCTTAACTGCTTATCTTGTACCTACGAGAATAATCATCTTCCTTTTCAAGACAGTTATTATTTGAGAACACAATATCCTCAGCATAAATACTATTTCCCCAAATCCTAATTAGAAGGTTTGAATAGTCAGTGCATAGAATAAGAGTTATGTTTTTAAACATAGATCTGGATTTTTTTTTGAGCTGATTTAAAATATGAGAATATTCTAACATTTCAAAGTTTATAAAATATGATCATTAACAAGGAAAAGCTAGCATTTGACATTTCATCCAGCAGTCATAAATTTTAAGTATGTCGTGAAAGTACATGTTCATCATTAAAACGAAAAGAAATGCTGTCTGGTTATATTGTTAATCTACGGGATCGACAGATTATAGTTCCTGAAAAAGTGGACGCTACTGATATCAGCAATTTAGAATGGCCGAGTAGTCTGGGAAGCTTGCCTGGTACTCACCTCTACATCTTGGCCTCTCGTCTCCTACGCTCCACGTCCCATTAGCTTGGCACTGCACGAGCCTGCGCCCCTCCAGGTAATAACCAGGATTGCAGCTCAGCACGACTTGAGCTCCGTACTCATTCAGTGATCCTGACACTCGTCTCCAGGTGACATGTTCCGAGAGCTGAGCCTCGATGCCAGGGCAAGTTACCGCTAGAAAACAAACACACTCCATATCATCATTTTCTTCTGGAGGGATCAGACCATACCTGCTTTTAACGGTAAGGGCCTTCGCTGTGAAACTGATCTTGCTGTGCAAAATAGATGCCGTCACCTGTTACCTCAGGTTTTCTCTACTGCCCTCACAGCTGCGAAGGAATGACCATGCACATAAAATGCATTCAACAGCCTCATTGCAAGGGCCTCAGAAATCTGGCAGTGAGATTGTGATGTAAGAGGCTGAGTCACTTCAACAAAGTGGCACGATTCATTTGGAGCTGAAAATCTTCATCAGGTAAATGAACACATGCAGAGAAAAATCTTACGTAAAATTTGTCTCACTATCCTCTGAGAAATGGGGAATAGTAATTGAGCAATCGAAAACCAGCTTAGACACAAATTTTCAGAAAATTAGATGCCCTGATTCCCTTCCTCCCTATGCAACACAGCTATATAATATTCTCCATATATAACTGGATTTATAAGCACAAAAATTCCTTTGCACATTGCGTTAATAGTGTGAAGAAACATGTTTAACAAGCCTTAAGGAGACATTTATTCCTGCTCTTAGGAGAAGGCCTATGATGACAGTAGCTACTTAATAAAGAGCAGTAGCAACAATTGCAGTGACAGGAACAACAGGAGTAACAGTAGTACTTGTACAATATTACTGGAGCCGACTTCACAGGATTTATAAACATGCTGAAAATACATGCCAAATTGGGTGTATGTGAGCATATATATTTTCTTAAAAGTACAATACTATTTTAAATGAACTTTACAAAGTCAGGAACCAGAACTCCACTTCTCTAAATAGGAAGCTACATCAGAAACAGGATCACACTCAACCACCCACAAAATTGACCCGATTGATCAATTTATTGAGCCTGGAAGAAGTAGCTAGAGAAATCATAGTTTTTTCAGAATGATATTAATAAATACATTTTACTTTTAAATTCTACACAAATTCATTATAATTGAATCAGACATACTCAAAGTGTTACAAAAATCTCATTTAATCTTCTCTCAATAATTTACCAGTGCCATGTCCAAATAAGCTGAAAAACAGGCCTTTGTGGTATTATTATGATAATAATATCAGTGAGGTTTAAAATGTGAAAAGGATTTGCTAATTTAAAAGTAATCCTTATTTCTATTTCTCTTAAGTATTTTTTAGGTAAAACAACTAATCCAAAATTTATGTGGAGATTCAAGTGTTTTACCTAATGCCAGAAATAAAATTTTTCTCCAAGCAGAACATCTTCAGAATGCCAGGCACAATGGCTTGTTCTGAAAAGGCATTAGCCTTTAACCTTATAAATCCATAACTCAATTTCAATCCCACTGCATACACCAAATAAAATTCATTTCATTTCACCAAACAGTGTGCTTCTAGAATTAACTTGATTGTTTTTAATTACCTGAACTGTCTTTTACAAACTCTATTCTGCCCTGGTGGTCTAGTGGTTAAGATTCAGGGCTCCCATCCCGAGGCCTGGGCTCATTACCAGATCAGGGAACCACATCCTCCGTCTGTCAGTTGTCACACTGTGGTGGCTCCACGTTGTTGTGATGCTGAAAGCTACGCCACCAGGATTTCAAATACCAGCTGGGTCACCCGTGGTGGACAGGTTTCAGCAGAGCTTCCAGACCAAGACAGATTAGGAAAAAGGATCTGGCCACCCACTTCCAAAAAGACTGCCATAAAAACCGTGTGAATAACAGTGGAGCATTGATTGATATGGTGCTGGAAGGGGAGAAGATGGGGCAAAAAGACCGGGCAGGGATCGGCTCTGCTGGACACCGGGTCCTAGGAGTCAAATCCACTCGACAGCACTAACAACATGTCTGCCAGGAGGATTCAATGTTGGCCTACATGACAGAGTCAGACGTTTTCTTTCAGCTACTATCATCTACAGTGGCAATTTCCAAATTCTGCATGATTACCTTTTTCTTCGTAAAAATAGCATTTGCTTTGTAATTATCTGATTCTGGTTTGTTTGCTTACATCTCTCTCTCCTTGTTAGGCTCTAAGGTGTTTTATTGTAAACACTATGTCTTTTCAGTTTTTCTTTAGCTTAGTGTCAGACTTAAAGCAGGTGCTGATGGCATGGATTTATAAATGTGTGCGTGAGCGTATGAGTGTGCACACTGCTGTGTGCGTGCTTTGAAAAATTACGTGTCAAGAAAATGTTGTGGCAGCGAAAACACAAAGAAACTGAGCAATGAAAGTGCATGGTGCAAACTGAGCATAAAAAGGAAAAGTGAGAACTGGAGTAAACGTGACACGAAGTCCATCCCGTCCTTTAGTAAACAGAAAGGAAGAGCGAGAGGGCGGAGGTGCCCAGAAACTCCTGCAGATGAGATTTTATTTAATATTTTCAAAAATGCTCTGAGGGAGGGAGTGTCCTACACCATGTGAGTATGAACAACTATGACACTATTTGGGTGGAGAAATCTCGAGTAACGTAAACCATGACGGTGTGAGAAGACGGCAGCCTCGGAGCCATGGTGAAGAAAGTCCCCTCTGGTAAGTGTTGCCTCCATCCGCGTCTGCATTCATATGAAAACAATGCAAACAGTCCCCAAAAACCATCACCCTGACATGTTGCACTCCACTTCTCTTCTCCAGTCCTCACTGCCAACGCCTCACTCCATCATCTACAAGTCAAACGCTGAATTTTGGTGAGAAACGCCATTTGCACACCCTTAAAGGAATTGTAACAAGTATTTATCTCCTTGTACTTCATTACAAATCTAAAAGGTTTCCTTCTAAGTTTAAATAATTGACAGTGTACAACGTTTAACATGGTAAATAGTTATGACCTTGAAAAATATCACTTTTGGGGCCGCCCTGTGGCCGAGTGGTTAAGTTCCTGCTCCCCGCTTAGGCTAGGCGGCCCAGGGTTTCCAGGTTTGGATTCTGGGTGCCCACATCATCAAGCCACTCATCAAGCCACGTTGAGGCAGCGTCCCACATGCCACAATTAGAAGGACCCACAACTAAAAAAATTCACAACTATGTACCAGGGGTCTTTGGGGAGAAAAAGGGGAAAAAAAATTTAAAAAAATCTCTTCTCTCAGATTCAAGGGAATAATACCACAGTAACTTGATATTTTTGAATATTCATTAATAAAACATGACTACCCCCAAAATTTCTTTCAAGCTTTGTTCTCCTTTAACTACCACTTCCATTCTACAGTCCCCCCAGAAACATATCCTAAGATACTTTTATGTTTGAAAGCCCTGTATGAGTTATCCTGCTGTATTATCAGTAGCAAAATTTGATTATTTTATTATTAATATATAATTGACTAAATTAACAATGTAACAATTTTTAGTAATCTATTTTAAACAGAGAAAGTAGCAGTTCAGGGGCTGGCCCTGTGGTGTAGTGGTTAAGTTCAGTGCACTCTGCTTCAGCAGCCACGGTTCACGGGTTCAGATCCTCGGGGCAGACCTATACCACTTGTCAAACCACGCTGTGGTGACCCACATACAAAATAGAGGAAGATTGGCACAGATGTTACCTCAGGGCTAATCCTCCTCAAGCAAAAAAAAGAGGAAGATTGGCAACAGACATTAGCTCAGAGCAAATCTTCCTTACCAAAAAAAAAAAAAAAGTACCAGTTTATTGGGAATACACCAATTAATGATAGAGATAAACCTTTTTTATTGTTTCTGAGCTACTGATTGTTAGAAAGAGACAAGGTTTGCTATCAATTTTATTGCTATTTTTTATTTTTATAGCTGTTTTGTTAGAGATATTTCATTTGCGTTAAGAAAGTTTAACATAAATAAGCAGTTTGGTTACAGTGATATCTCTCAGTTCTTCACACTCATACTTGGTTATACACCAAATATCACCATTATCAAAAATTGTTTGACAGCAACACCTTAAAACAAAGAGTTAGTATCCCTCAGACTTGCATAAGGAAAGTCACTGGCTTTCTCTGTCCCTGAACCAATGTTTTGGATTTTTTTCCTCTGTTTGGTGACCTGGCGGTTTGGTTTTGTTTCGTTTTTTTCTTTGTTTGTTTTCTGTTTTTGGTGCTGTTGGTTTTTCTTTAGATATTCAGGTAAATTCGTATTGAAACATATGACAGAAAGTGCACAAATTGATATTATACCATTAAAATACATTTTTATATAATAAACACGCCCCCATGTTACCAGCACCCACATCAAGAACTGGAACATTACCAGCACCCCAGAAACCTACCTCATGTCCTCTCAGTCACTCACTATTTCTACCCACCTCCCCATCTGACTCGCTTCGTTCAAGGACAGACAGAATGTAAACCAACTTCTAATGACATAGACCTATCTTCTAACACCATAGATCGGCATGACCTGTTTTTGCACTTCACGTAAGTAGAACCATACAGTATGCACTGTTTTATTTCTGACTTCAATATTATTGTTTTGAAATAACCCATGTTGACACACGTAGCTAGAGTGTTTATTTCAATTTCTATATATTATCCACTGTATAAACACATAACAATCAGTGTATCCATTTCTTGTTGATAGCCATGTGGGTTGTCTCTGTTTCTTGGCTTTTACAAAGAGTGCAGCTTTGAGCACGTCCTTAGATGAATATCCTGATGCATGTCTTTGGGGATATTTCTAGGAGTGGAATTGCTGGCTTATAAGATACTGTCAGCTTTAGTACATGCTACTTCATTTGTCCAAAAAGAACACATCAACATACCACTTCCACCAGCAATGTATTTGAGTTCCAGTTGCTTAACATTCTTGTCAACTCTAGTATCCTGTCTCTTTTATTTTATAAATTTATAACTTCTGGTGTGAGGGTGCATTGGTATCTGTTAGGGCTTCTGCGCTTTTCTTACTGGATGGACTTTTTTAAACAACCTGTGTTTGATATGTGTCTTTCAAATATGTTCACCCTTTTGAGGTTTGCCTTTGTCGGGATCTTAAAGACGTATTTTGAGGAATAGAAGTGCTGAAATTTAATGTAGTCCAGTAT